GTTCCCAAGAACAGGTTTCCAAGAAAAGGTTCCAAGCAAGGTTTCCAAGAACAGGTTCGCAAGCAGAGGGTTTCCAGGCAAGGTTCCTGGGAACAGGTTTCCAAGCAAGGCTCCCAAGACCAGGTTCCCAAGCAAGGTTCGCAAGAAGAGGTTCCCAAGCAAGGTTCGCAAGAACAGGTTCACAAGCAAGGGTTCAAAGAACAGGGCCCGCAAGTTCCCAAGCAAGGGTTCCAAGAACAGGTTCCCAAGCAAGGTAGCAATGTTACCAAGCAAGGGTTCCAGGAACAGGTTGCCAAGCAAGGTTTTCGCGAACAGGTCCCCAAGCGAGGTTCCCAAGAACAGGTTTGCAAGCAAGGTTCGCAAGAACAGGTTCCCAAGCCAGGTTCCCAAGCAAGGGTTCGAAGAACAGGTTCCCAAGCACAGGTTCAGGTTCCAAGAACTAATTCTTCAGGAAGGTTCCGAACAATAGGTTGCCAGCAAGGTTCCACGAACAGGTTCCCCAGCAAGGTTTCAAAGCAAGGTTCCTAAGCATTTCAAACACAGTTTCTCAAGCAAGGTTTTGGATAATAGGTTAACAGGCAAGGTTGTCAAGCAATTTTCAAAAGCAAATTTGCAGGAAAGGTTCAACGAACAGGTTTTCAAGAAAGGTTCCCAAGAACAGGTTGCTCATGTTCCCAGGAACAGCTTCCCAAGAACAACTCCCCAAGCAAAATTCCGAAGAACAGCTGCAAGCAAGGTTAGAAGCAAGAACAGAATCCCAAGCAAGGTTCTGAAGGACAGGTTCCTAAACAAGGTTCCCAAGCAAGGTTTCGAAAAACAGGTTCCCGAGCAAGGTCCCAATGAACAGGTTTGAAGCAAGGCTTCGAAGCAAGTTCCACAAGAACAGGTTCCCATAAAAGGTTCCGATAAACAAATTTCAATCCACCTTTCCAGGCAAAGTTTCCAAGAACAGGTTCCCAAGAGAAAATTCCCAAGAACAGGTTATCAGGCAATGTTCCCAAGAACAGGTTCCTAAGAATAGGCTCCCAAGAACAGGTTCCCAAGCAAGGCTGGCAAAGAACAGGTTCTCAAGCAAGGTTCCGATGAAGAAGTGTCAAGCAATGTTTCCAAGAACAGGTGCCCAGGCAAGGTTCCAAGAATAGTGAACAACAGAATACAAAGTTTGAGGAAGTGTTCTAATTAACCCAGCTCTGCAACCCAACAGCAGGTTCCAGAGTTCCAAGGTTCCAAGGTTTTGCAGGTTTGGAATGCGAGACTCCAGTGTCATGGAATTGTGGAACCCCACACTTGGCCTCTTGCAACCTTAGAGCCTTGCTACCCTTCCTGGAAACCGAGAGCCCTGTGAAAACTTTGAACCTTTCACATCCTTTCACCTTGTGAAGCTGTAGAGTTGACGCTTTACAGTGGATCATACTGCTCCTGAGCTCCTGTGTAGCAACTCCTGTATAACATTTTCTGTGCAAATGACCTTGTCGGAGTTTTGTACGAGTTCAATTAGAAGTGGATCACCTGCAAGTCAACTCCTGTGTAAATGACATTGCTCAAGTTTTGTGGGAGTTACCTAGAAGTTGATCACGTGTAGCTGATGTAGATGATGTTGTCTATGTTGTAGATGATGAGGATGATGTTGCAAGTGATGTAAGGTTAGATTGGAAGATGTAGGTGATGTAGAGGATGTAGTGATATAGATGATGATGTAAGTAATGTATGTGTTGTAGATGACGTATGTCATGTAGATGAGGTTGATGGAAAAAGTTTGCGTAGGTGATGTAGATGATGCCGATGTAGGGAAGATGGTGTAGAAAGTGTAGGTGACGTGGGTGATGTACAGGATGTAGTGATGTAGATGATGATGTAGGTACTGTATGTGATGTAGATGATGTATGTCATGTAGATGAGGTTAGTGGAAATAGTTTGTGCAGGTGATGTAGGTGATGTAGGCGAGATAGATGTAGATGTAGATGTAGATGATGTAGATGATGTAGATGATGTAGATGATGTAGATGATGGTGATGATGGTGTTGATGGTGATGGTGATGGTGATGGTGGTGATGATGATGATGATGATGTAGAGAAAATGGTGTAGAAAATGTAGGTGATGTAAAGGACGAAGGAGATGTGGATGATGTATGTTAGGTAGATCAAGTAAAAAGTGGGGCGGACAGCAGTTCTTTGGGAAAAACCCTTCGCACGAGCTTCAGGAATATTGGCCCTTCAGCTGCGACAGTATTGCAAACAATATTGGAAAACCGGTTTTCGTAAAGAGTTTGTGCCGTGATTGCGCCTTGCACGCCTGGCCTCTTAGAGTAAATAAACATATTTCACTCATTGCGTGTTTGATCAATTTCTGTTTCTGGCTGCTGGGGATACTGTCTTGGCTTATTTATTTATTTATCTATTTATTTATTTAGTTATGAAGTTGTATACTGTATGCATAAATCTACACACACACATATATATATACACATACTACATATATACATACACATGTACATGTATCAGTAGGCCAATACATGTTGCAACATAGAAACTTGTATTCCTGTCTTGATGGTCTCTTTGGACATATGTTCAAGAAAGCCATGGGTGTTCATATTAGCTCCTACGAAGACGTGTTTCAGAGCCATACCTGACCTGCTATGAACATTGTGCCGTTTCAAGCAGGTTTTCTCTCTCCTCCTGTCTCTGCAATGAATTCGTCGCCTTGGGCGGCGGTTGACTGGACCTGAGAGAGCGGCCAACGCTCAACGCTTTAGGCGAGCAGCTGCGGCGCAGTACTCAGCAACTCTGAAATCAAACAGTCCAAGCTGTCATAGCCCCTCCTTGAACCATCCTGAACCTTTGCACCAACTACAAATATCCATAAATGTGGATTGTTGAGCCATTCTGGGCTGATGTTGGCTACAGTATTGGTTTCCTGTTGCGGCGACTGCTACCAAAATTTACCAAGGTCTTAAGGTGGACATCAAATGCTTTCTCAATGTGTCTGTCTTGATATCGGCTCACCCCTTTCCGAAATCATTCGCTACTTTTCCCATCTTATCCTCAACATTCAAGAAAGGCCAATTGGAAGATTCTATTTGTAGGCTTGTCATTCGTTGGTGCCAACCATTCAACAAAATCACATTGCCAGGAGTTCACTTGCACTCCACTTAGTGACAAAGCACATTTCGGGGTTTATTGCCTCTTTCGTACCCATTTGATGCCTTTAGATGCCTTTAGGTTGATTGTGGTTGACTCAGCAAAGGCCCCGCAGAAGTGCCAGTTGCGTCGTTGGTCCAACTCATGTGACAATTTTGACATGCACTCAGGCTCCATACGCTCCATGAATTGCTTGTCATGCTTCTCTTTACATGGCAAGGGCAGGTGGCCAGTGGAGATCCACCGGGCCGAGGGATTGGGCTGCCACGTTCCTCTGGGACTGCAGATCCCGGAGAGTGCAAGCTCCGTCCGGCTTTTTTGGATGCCGATTTCCAGGGACCACGTGTGACCACCCTGAGGGTTAAAAAAAGCCGAATGGACCATCACCATCATGAATACAATCGTTGCCTATCCGATGTGATGCAGGTCAATGCAGGTACCTCACTGTGTTTCAACATCCCAAGTGGTCCAGGCCGGAGAAATTGCATAGAACTCAAGACTCGAATGGAAAAATGCGCGAAGAATCCTGCAGTTTCCTTGCGAACACACAGCTGGAAATCAACTTAGGGGGCTATCCGCTCATCCACATCAGAAGCAGCCACCCCAGCCACCCAGCTGATGCTTTCGCTGTCTCCCAGGCCGTGGAAATATCCTGGAAAGTGGCCGTGTTGCGAGTTTCGCCAGTCCAATCCTCAAATGCAGTGGTAGCAGTGTGGCCTTGTGTGGAACAACCCAAAGTCCGTAGTGATTGACGTGCGTCCTGCTGACATGATATGCCTTCCTCCGGGGATGTTGTATGTGTGTAAACATCGATTTTGCAACGTAATGTAAACAAGATCTATCCGGATTATAAATATATATAAATATCTATTTATTTTATTATTATTATGGTTATGGTTATGATGATGATGATTATTATTACTATAATTATAATTATTTATTATTATTAATATATATATATATAGCCCGGGTTTTGCCCGGACCCGCAATGACGACAGGCGACGCATCATCATCATCATCATCATCAGAATTAAACCCTTATTGAAGATCTTCAATGAATGTTGAAGTTAAACCGGGTGGTGAGAATTAAACCCTTATTGAAGATCTTGAATGAATGTAGAAGTTTAACGGGGGTGGGAGAATTAAACCCTTATTGAAGATCTTCAATGAATGTAGACATGAATGCAGAAGTTTAGCGGGGTGGGGAGAATTAAACCCTTATTGAAGATCTTCAATGAATGTAGAAGTTTAACGGAGGTGGGAGAATTAAACCCTTATTGAAGATCTTCAATGAATGTAAGGTTTAACGGGGGTGGGAGTTTAATATTCCCTAGTACCTTTGTTGATCTTCCCAATTGAATGTAAAGTTTAACGGGGATGGGATTTTTATATTCCCTAGTACCTTTGTTGTTTTTTTCCAATAGGAATTTAAAGTTTAACGGGAGTAACTGTTTAATATTCCCTAGTACCTTTGTTGATCTTCCCAATTGAATGTAAAGTTTAACGGGGATGGGATTTCTATATTCCCTAGTACCTTTGTTGTTTTTCCCATAGGAATTTAAGGTTTAACGGGGTGGGAGTTTAATATACCCTAGTACCTTTGTTGTTTTCCCCATAGGAATTTTGTGAAATTGCATCAGCATTTGTTTGGGAATGGGAAACCTCTACGCTGCAACGCCTGGGCAAACCCAGGCGTTGCGCGTATATATATATATATATATTAGATTACTGTATATTAGATGTTCTAAAATAAACAGATCAAATAACACACACAATTTAATGCAAGCACCCGCGTATCCAGATACATGTCTTTTGACGACATGCAGGGAGCATGGTACCCTTGAACCTCCACCTCGTGTCAGCTAAGGTGCTAGATCACCTGATGTCACATCCCGAGAGGCAAAGTGGGGGCAGCTTGATGGTGCGAAGCCAATCCTGATGCAGGACGAGTGGCCCATGGATATGAAGTCTGTGATGCAAGATGATGCAAGAATAGTCAAATGATGTTAAATGTTATTAAATGTACTTCATATCAATTAACAATTGTCCAGTCTTCTCTTGATTCCAGGGTTCTGGTTCCGGCTTGTTCTACGACTTTGAACCGAAGAGAAAAATTCCTTGCATCTTTGTACTGGATGTTTGATGAAGGCCGGCAGTGAGCATTGCATTTGTGTCCGCCAAGTCTCTTCTTTTCCTCTCTGTCGAAAATGATGGCATGATCCAACATGAAGGATGCACCCAAGATGAAACGGGTCGAAGTGAAGAAGGCATAGCACCACGTGTTGGCTTCTTTGCGGAACCTCGTTACATGCTCAGCGGAGGGCTGAGTTTCTTTTGGGAAATGGGCTGAAAAACTCGAATAACATTTAAAAAGAAGAGCGATGGACAAAAATCGCGTGGGCTTTTCAGATCAATGCTTTCGTGCCTGAATGCCAGAATGCGTCAAATCCGTTGCTTCATCTAGCTAAACCCTCTTTCCGGCATTTCTTGGGAGTTTCTCAATGCACAGTCTAGTCTAGGCCCTTTCAATGCAAACTGTGCTGAGCGACATGTACCCTTTTGCGCGCCAAACAAATGTTGCATCGCCAAAGTGAAAGGTCATGTTCGGGAAGCGGTCCATCTCATCTTCCCCTGCCTCGCACGTGGGAGCTGCCATCAGTAAATCCGCAGTATGTAAATGCCCCTGCCATCCCTGTCCTAAAGGTCTAGAGTCCAAACTAAACATACTAAGGTTCAATCTCCAAAAAAGACGGCTAAACCGGCTTTGATTCAAGCCGTCACAAGAAAAACTGTTCCCTACATGCATCATGCATCATGCATCATGCATCATGCATCCTTTTCCAGCCACCGGTCTGCGGATTCAGGGCCTTCAAGCAACTGATGGAGCTCCAAGAGACCTCAAAGGTCAAAGATATGGCGAAAAATGAATATGGTCACAGAATGCAGGATCATGAGGCAATCCTTATACATTTTGGACCCTCCTACTCAAACGCAGTGGATCATGTTTAACTTAAGAGCAAGCACTGAACAATGACAAGAACATGTATGGGTATGTGCCCCCCCCTCCCTCCCTCCCTCCCTCCCTCCCTCCCTCTCTCGCTCTCGCTCTCGCTCGCTCTCTCTCTCTCGCTCTCGCCTCTCTCTCTCTCTCTCTCCCCCTCTCTCTCTCTCTCCCGCCCTCCGTCCGTCATGTGCCTACATACATACGGTATTCGGAAGCAGGATCCAAAATACTGGGCGGACGTTGTTCTTACCCCAGGCACCCAGAAGTTACCCCATCCCGATGGCACACAGGGTTACCCCAGGCCATCCGGAAGTTACCCCAGGGACCAAATCCTATTGGCACACTAGTACCACACCACTGTTGGTTTGGCAAACAAAATATGTAAAATGTGTCCGTGCCATTGCGAACCACATAATTAATACCATCTCCTTTGGTGATAAAACCATGTTGAAAGCGGGCAACCGTCATTGACAGCAAAACAGCTGCCTTCCATCCAAATGAGAAAAGTAACCAATTCTGCAGCACACGCCCCGTTTTCTTGTCATGACTCTGGACATGGATTCGTTTGATTTCGGTACGAACCCCGGCGTGATCCTACGCCATTTACCAGAACTTGCGCCAGCCGCATGCGCATGGCACACCGCTTACGCCAGACATCAATAATCTTCCGCCTGTTTGAACAGTCAGAACGATCATCCCCCGCATGGCACACCACAAGTTTCATGGCATTTCCAACATACAAACTTGGATGTGATCGACGTTACATTCCTATGGTTTCTATGATAATTTCTACTTAGTACTTCATGCCAATCAACCCTGTCATCCACTTCCACATGGTACACCGCTGATCGGATCGACTTTCTTTTTCAAGTCATCTTCTTATGCTTTTGGTTTCTTCCGCGCAGCTTCCAGCCCTTTCACAAATCTCTTGGTTCTCTGCCCAAAAACCGCGCCTTGCCCAGAAGCAGCAGCACAAGCAACAACAGCAGCAGCAGCAGCAGACCAAGCAGCAGACCAAGCAGCAGACCATTGCAAAGCCTTTCCAAAACTTCTCCGGGCTGGGTTTTGACTGGCTGCAATTTTAACGAGGTCCGAACGAGGTGCGAACGAGGTCCAAACGAGGCGAAATCAAATTTTGGGAGACTGACCCCCTAGGTCTCCTGACAAAGTCTTTGGTAGCCACACGCCTTCGCATTCTTTTCAGAACAGTAAAACTCAAGAGCTTTCAGCGGTGAAGCAGAAGAGGAAACCAAGCCAAGCAGCAGCTGCGGGCAAGAGCAAGGAGACAGAAGAGGAGACAAAGGGCGAGTAAGGGGGACAGAGGGGAGACGACGCAAGCTTGGCAAACAAGGCGGCGGTGAGAAATTTGAGCGGGCACAGACTGGTTGAGACGTAGGAACCGTGGTAGCCGAAGATATCTAAAGGCTAAAACTGTCTGGGGAAGAGAAAGCAAAGCCTTGGGCAGAGGAACCACCAGGCATAGGGCAGCAGGTCAGGATGACCTATGTCTATGTTCGATTGTCTATATTTGAGCCCCAAACTGAAGCAAAACACAGCTCAAACACATTGTTTATGTATTAAACATGTTGCCAATTTCAAAACTCACAAATCACCACCTAAACGCCACGACCGCAACGACTTCCTAATGGGTAAACGGTAAACCCACAAAGATATGACAGGCCCGTTGACATAGGGGCTTCACGTGTTTCATTGGATATCTACCAAAGGCTTTTTGAAAGCTCAAAGGAAAAGTGGGGGCCTCTGACTGACAAGGGTTATGAGCCCAAACCCCATTTGGTTTTTCCTGCGTTTTTCGCTGTGACCGGTTTGCCATGAGAGCGAGCTCCGAACCACCTGTGAATAAGGGCCCAACATCTATCAATGGGATGGTTGGTAACCCTTGGTACTCAGAGAAGGCCCAGATGGAGTCAATACTTAGAGCTTCACGTCCTCAGGGTTGCCAACATCAGAAAGGGTGCCTCTGCGCGATGATGGCTTGCACACGGGTTTGTGTGTTGGCAAAGGGCGAGGAGGACAGGCATCGTCAAAGCTCTGTTTTGTGACTCCGCCAAGCAAGGTCTCTGGGAGTAGCCATGATGGGGAAGAGATGGGCCACTGTGGCAAACGAACGGAAGGCAAAGTTCCGAATGAATCGAACCTCGTGGGTAAACCGGATAGTCGTGATGATGCTGGTTTATCTGTAGATGACAGTTTGGAAAGGGCCTTAGGGATTGAGCTGGTCAACCAGCTTCGAGAGCAGAATGCAAAGTTGTTGTCTGAACTGGAAATGTATAGGCAGCTTGGAAGCACTCCGAAGTCTGGCGATGATTCAACTCAGTCCTGGGTCGAAGTTCCTAGCATGGGAGAAGGGCGGGATGGACATGGTGCTGATGGGCGTGGCTGCAACACCCCCAGAAATGGTAGTCAGTTTGGAAGGGGCTGTAGATTTACTCCGAATGGAACAAGAATCCCAGATGGCACACCTCCAACTGAAGATGTTCCGAAAGCTCCTGAACCTCCTAGCCTTCCTCCAGCATCACCTTTTCCAATGTTGGCTGATGATGCAGCTATGGGGATGTTGGATCAATATGAGGTGATGATGATGTTTCAAAGAATCGCATGGGAGAAAAGTCTTGGAAGCCTCAAGGGGTTAAAGGTGCTGAATTCACCCTGGAGAAGCTAGAGCGTTTTGGTTGGAACGTGAAGTGATTTCGCTGAAACGGTCACTGGAAAAAATGACCCATGGGAATCCCTTTGCAACAAGTGATTATTGGTCCAAAGGTTTTCACCCCCTACGGACCCTCTAATGCTGTCCGGGTTTCCTGAAGAGCCGACGGATCTGGGTAGACCTGATCCGGATGCGGCAGAGCGGATCAGCCGAGCGAACCCGGGAGATGGACACCGGCGAGCGTTTGGTGGAAGTGGATATCTGTCTCTACGAGATCGGGCCGGCAATGGCATGGGTGATGGAGAAGGACATCGTCACTTGCTTTGTGGAAGTGGTGATGTTTCCCTACGGCATCGGGCACGCATGAGCATGGGTGTGGGTGAAGTTCACGGTCACTCGCGTGGTGGAAGTGGAGATGTACCACATCAAGCTCGGGCTGGCATGGATAGCAATCATGAAGAATGCCATGGTCATTTGCGTGGTGGCAGCGGGCATCAAGCTCTACAAGCTCGGGCCTTGCATGGAGATCCTGGTGAATGCCTTCACGATCGGGCTCCTCAGAGCAGTCACAGTGTATGTCATGCCAATCGGGCTTTGCAGGGCAGTCATGGAAAATATCCCGGCGTTTGGGCTTCTCAGAGCACTCATGGAGTATGTCATGACGATCGGGCTTTTTTGGCATCGATCTACATCCTGAAGGTCGTCAACGCTCTTGCCTCGATCCACGGCATGGTGGCGGAGGGGGTTTTGGCGGAGGAATGGGAATGGACCCGATCCTGACATCATGGGAATCCGGGGGAGGCATCAGCAGTTCCAAGGCTGACCTTGCCGTCGTTGATCTGGATAACGTGGTCGTAGCTTAGAACATAGCATACGAGCACCATTTGGCGGAGCCTTACTCAGGCTCCATGTTGACTTTGGACTTTCGCAAAGCCTGCAATCGCGGTGCAACATGGTCAGGTAGTCCTTTGGAGGACAAACCAGCAGCACAGCGACTGGCACGAATCGCATCACTTCGATTGGTAGCATGTGAGCCATAGCAAAGAGTCTTGGCAAACCGAGCAACGCTACTTTTCACTGAACTTCGTTTGCACCGCTTACACACATAGTTTCCCTTGGAATCGGGCTTGGCAGGAATGTCATGCACAAAACTTGCCTCACACTTCGATGGTCCAGGACACACAAAAGAAAGTTTGCCATTCATTTGCTTCACATTGGCTGCAGTCTCACCACACTTGCTACATTTGAAAAGGCCTTTGCGTTGGGAACCGAAATCATGAGCTCGGTCACCGAAACACTCCACACGCCGAAAACGACCACTATTGGAAATGCTGCAGCTAGCCGGACATTTCTTGCAGAGAAAACAATTATCACCTTTATAAACATCATGAACATCATGCGAAATGTTATCAAGTGATTTTGGCTTTTTGGCTGTCTTTTTGCTCACCTCTGAAGAAGGATTTGATTTGCCCGGACAAGCGTGACTGAGCTTCCCATTCACCTGCTTTTGGTTGTTTGCCACTTCTCCACACTTGCTGCACGTGAAAGATCCCGCCTTGAACTCAAAGTTATGACAAAGGTCACCTAGGCACCGTGCCTGTTTGAAGCGCGTACTGTTAGATGCAGTAGAAGTGCAAGGGCACTTTCGACATGTCCAGCGGTTTCCAACCTTAGTAGCATCATGGGTGTCATTGTCTGAAGTCTTTGTGTCTTTTACAGGTTTCGGATCCTCACACTTGTTCTTAGGTGGAACAGGTTCCCCAGCAGCCTCGGATGTGGCTACATCAGAAGCAACAGGTGTGTTCCACTTGAGCGGATGCACTTTTTTGTATGCCAACTCAACCGGATTTGCAGCACCAGTCTGACCAGCAGTGATATCTGCCGAGGAAACATTGATCTCAACCGCGATCCTGTCATGCAAACACGCACGAATGGCTTCTGAAGTCTCTGCATCCATGGTCATCACTGGACGACGATCCAAGCCACGGTATCTGTGTTTTCCCGGCAAACCAGGAATACAAACATTTCGAGTCTCTCGGCCCACAACCACGGGTGCACCGATCAGGCGCGCAAAGGAACGACAAGCACTGGACAGGGTCAAAACTTTCTTGTAAAGATTGTCAGGAGCCTCAAGCAGGGGCACAGCTGCCTCACCATATGTACGCAAGTGTCTAGCACGACTTCGACCAGGGTTGCGAGGAAGTGCCTTGCCAGTAACAATCTCAAAATTCACCACCAACTCTGCCCACGAAATGCCGTTAGGGGTCGGCTGCTTGGGCCATGTCAAGGTCTTCAGGAAGCTAAGCAAATCCACACAGAACTGTTCAGGCCAAGGAAAAGTGGTAGATGACAGTTTGGGTGGTTCCAACGGAAGCTTCAAAAGCAAGGGTTCCACAGGCAAAGCAGAGGATTGACTCTCCTCTTGCGGTTTGTCATCTGAATTCGGCCAACCCAAATCCCATGAGCGACGCGCCACATCAAGCAGGTAAGCTTGCACTAAATGAGCCAGTTGAATGTGATTGTAACCTGGGATCTCGAAATTCAAGGGCACAAGACCACACAGCTGCAAACAAGACGGCCAGGGTCCAGTGTCGGCACGCAAAGAAACAAGGCGACCATGCCTGCTTTGTATGTCCTGTAAGTGAGGGCACAACCAAAAGAAATGCTCCCTGTCTTGGTGGTCATGACCACAAGGACACGCCGAGGTCTGGAGTCGACCAGCATGATACAAGCGCGAAGCAGTCCACACAGCGTCCGTCAAGATTGAGCGAAGGAGACGACAATCATGAGTCGACAGAAAGCTCTGCTCAGACAAGTGAACAGAGGCCGAGCGATCAACACCACATTGGGCTCCTTCAAAGTGCTTGTGAAGACCAAGTGCCTGCTGCCAACCATGCACACGACAAGCTTCACGAACATGATGCGCAAACAAGTCAGAGTCTGTATTTAGAAGGTCAAGGTCAATGTCCTGATGAGTTCGAAGAGTCCAAGCAGATACCCAGGACCACTTGATACGACGAACCACATTGCACAACAAGGTGACGGGGCCACGAGGACGACGAGGGTCATGACCAGAAGCTTTCAACCACCAAGGTTCCCAAATAGCACGCACTGCTGGATTTTGAGACAGGCAGCGTTTCAAGGTTGTAAGACATTGATACACCTGGGCATGGAAAGGGTCGGTCAAGTGCGACTGAGTGAAGAGCAACAGCACTGCATGCGACGAACGAAACCGTCTGCGATGATTCCAGATGGCCATGACTACAGCACTGCGGACACGAGCAAGTGCACTTTCACCAATGAAACAAGTTTCAAGACCATAGTTGGCCAGACTGGACGCAGCTCCAGTAACCAACTGCACTTTATCTTCAAGCCTCAACGGAGCACACTGCACACGCTTGCTGAATTGCTGAACTCGGCAAGCCCGCTCCAGTCTGGAGACTGGATCCATTTGTGCGGGCCGGTGATGAGAGACTTGTCGAGCGTGGCAAGCCGGTGGTGGGACTTGACAGTTCGTCAGGCACAGATCCACTACGCGGACTGCAAGCAGGCGACGCCACTGCAGAGGGTTCAGATCGACCCCAAGATTCCGGACGAGCTCAACTGCAGGGTCTACGGCCGCACGGAGCAGCGAGGTGTCCACTTGTTGCTGAAGTCTGTGGCACCTGAGATTCAGCAGATGCTGGTGACAGATCGTCAGATGACCAGCACGGCGATCTTGTACCGCCTCTACATCAGATACCAACCAGGCATACCAGGTGAAAAATCGCTGATCCTCAAGGAGTTGACACAGCTCCCCAAGACCAACACCATGGCGGAGCTGGCGACGGCACTTCGAAGCTGGAGGCGACACTATGGGCGAGCCCGTGAGGTTGGTGCCAGCCTTCCAGATGGAACACTTCTACTTCGAGCTCTTGAAAGCGGAGTACAACTGGTGGCCAAGGAGAACACCCAAGCTTTTAGTCTTGCTCAGAGCCGCTCAGCTTTGCAGGTGGACGAGATCCCTGAGCCGGCGTCCATTTGGGACTTTAGCCAATGCCTGCTGGCTGAAGCGGAGACTTTGGTGCTGATGAGTTCCTCAACAACCTCATCAGCGGAGACGACGCCCTTGGAGCTGAAGGTCATGGAGGCCAATGACACCAGTGCTCCCACGAAGCTTCAACAAGAAGGGAGTTCTACTGGAAAGGGCCGTGGTGGAACAGCTGACTTGGCACCGGCTGTCGCGCTGGCAAACAGTGCAAATGGCTCCACAGTTGGGAGGGCATCAGCGACAAAAATGCCCGGTGTTGGAATTGTGGTGCAAAAGACCATAGAAAGCAAGAGTGCAAGGTCAAAGGTGATGGATCAAAAGGCCAAGGACGAAACCAAGGTTTCGGGGAGAGGAAATGCAGCATTGACCAACAAAGCTGCAGGTGGCACTTCATCCAGTACATCAACAATGCCGTCCAGTATGACCTCTACACCAACAAAACCCCAAATCAATGAAATGGCAGCTGCTTCTGGAACTTCGACAACGCTGTCACCGGGGGAGTTGAAGACGGGCAGCCCTGGAACTGACAATGTGGAGTCGCTGAAAGGCTTGGGTGATGGAGGAACTGGAGGGGAACAGGCGGCCAAGAATGAGAAAACGGCCGAACTACTTCATGAAGCCACTCAGCTTTTGAAGACGTTGCGAGTTCAACCACAAAGCCCAATATTGAAGGTGGTGCAAATCGGTGGCCTCGACCGCACTGAAGCCAACATGGTGCTCATCGATTCAGGTGCAACACATGGACTACGACCAGCACGAGATCATGATGAGTGGCAAAAGGGGGAAAGGACAACAGTTCAGTTGGCCAATGGTTCCACGGATGCCTTCAGACTGAAGCCTGGAATGAAGATCCTCCTGGGGCCTGGGGAACCCTCAAACGGCGGCATCATGGATCTTGCCGATGGGCGGACGCGCCGAGCTGGATTTTACGATGAAGTAGAGCATCCCCAGTGTACCCCTGCGTTGTGCGCCCTGCAATGGACAAACAAACAATAAGAAGGTTTATGACTACAAATGGTAGGTTCATGTTGGTGAAATTCAGCATGCCTATGCGTTTTGTGGTCTTACAATAAGCAATGATCCAATGGAATAATAATAGGATATATATAAACATTCACAATACCTGCTGTTTTACTTGCTTCGCAGACCAGATTTGTCAAATAAAAAAGGAAAAATTAAAGATTGGTATCGGAAGATTGTCCTAAAAGAGGAGACCCAAACCTCTTTAAGGGGCACCAACATCCATCCCTCCGCCACACCGGAGGCATGAATGCCCCCCTATGTGTCCCCTGAGATCTCCGCCACTCCGGAGATTAGCTCAGTGCACTAGACACGGACAATCTTTGAAAAAATCATTCAGGAATGAAATATATTTCAGACCACGACTCTCCCCCCTCCCTTCATTTTGTGCACTTTGTGCCCCTTTCCACGTCCCCCAGTCCTGTAGGCCCGTTTTGGGGCTACTGGCTCAAGCGAAGGCTGGGAGATCCACGTGTGAAAAATATGGTGAAAAGGCGAAAGCAATGACTTTGGAATTTGAATGTCAGAAAGCATAGCAAGGCCAGAGTTAATATAAATCCTGGCCGTTTTCAAGGCCGTCCACCGCCCTGCAATCAACACACGGTCCAAAGACCCATTCTTGGTAAATAAATGGGTGGCTCCTCCTCTCCGGAGCGAGTAGGGTCTGAACTCCCACTGTTCAAGTTTCAATTTCTTGAGGGCTTCAGAAAACAAATCACGCCAAGCATGGGGCTTTAAAGTGAGGAAGGTATGTGGTGGGACAACATTCTTCCATGCCCACAATTTGCTTAGCACATTTTTCTCGGTGAGCGTGACACTCTCTGCTGCACCTTGTCGTTTTCCAGTTTTGGTTAGCCCTAAATTGATAACAGCCGGCTGCGTTGGCGAGACCATATGGATCTGCCACGCTTGGATTGCAAGGAGTTCCCCTGTACGAAGTAAACCATAAAACCCAACCAACAGACTGAGAGCAAAGGTCTCATGTTGTTGCATGATTGCCCAACCCACAAGGGCCTTTAACACGGGTTCACTAAGCGGTGGGGCTCTACAGGGCACCTCATGTGTGGTCCAGGTCTTCATCAAGCGCCAAGAAGAGGGGAGGTTGTGCTTCAACTTGGGGTCATGGTCTTGCAAAGCCGCGAGGAACGTGCTGCCCACTGCGCGTCCTTCACCTTGAGCCCATAAGTATTCTAGATAGTCTGAGATCAGATCATCCATGAACTCACGCTTGGTAGGTAGTTGTAAACCTTCTGCACGTAGATAGGAAAAGAAATCATCCAAGCTAGCCTTGTACCGTGCTTTAGTTTTGTCTTGGACAGTCAGACTTTTCAGTGTGCCTAATTTTTCGCGGATTTTCTTTCTTCCTTCCTTTGTCCGGGCTTCTTTGGTGAAGCTCACTTTTTAACCATTTTTTCCGAATTCCCCAGCGGGAGGGTTTATCCGCTGGGTTATCCTTGGTATTGACGTAAGCCCACAAGGGCTGAAGCCCGGTTGCTAGAAGGTAAGCACTAATCCGCATAATGGTCCTGCGCATTTTTCGTGAAGATGACCTTCCCCTTGTCAATGCATGGAGCACCACCAGGCTGTCCACTAAATGCACACATCGCACACTGAGTTGCTTCTTTTGCATTGTGCGCCACCGTAGGGTGGTCAGCACTGCTCTTGCTTCTAACACATTAATGTGTTCTGGGTCTCCGGTCCATCGCCACCCAGCCACTGAACGCCATCGCCATAGTTTCGCCGGTATTCCACTTCGCAGTCTATGATGTCGCACAGGTATTTCCGTGGACGACTGTAGCTAAAGGTCTTCTCCCTTGAGTGAAACTAGTCCTGAAAGCTTAGCAATCAGGTGCATGTTGGGAGAGAAAGTGTTGGTTCCCTGGCCAAGGGGAGGTCGCAGCAAAATAGTTTGAAGAGAGCTTGCTTTCCCTGGGGTGAGCGTCTGAATGATGGAGTGAAGGGAGGAATTTTCTATAATCCCCAAAGGAACAAGGAGCTGTTTCAGCAACCAAGCGATCACGCCAACCGACCAAGAGTTCCCTACCAAAGTAAGCCGGCAGTCTTCATGGGCTTTAGTTCCTTGATGGCTTTTGGGCATACATTGAGCCGTATAGTTAGGAGGGAAACCAAGTATCACCTCCCTTTCGACGATGCTAGGAGTTCGCAAACTCCCTTTTTTGTTCACCAGGGAATGGCACTCCAGGTATTGATAGGGCGGAAATCGATGTTGGTCTTCTTTCCAACGTTGAAGTTCCGCTGGGCTACATTGTTTGAGGCCAGCAGGTCTCCGCAAGGGGTGAGGACTAGGCCTAGACGTTGTAAAAGTTGGCAAGGCTTTGTCTTGAGTGCGCCTCCACCCCTTTTCAAGGAAGTGCTGTTCAGACACTTCTGCCTTGAGTTTGACCTGCCCCTGCAACGGTAGTTGACCATCAGTCCCCAAAAGTATCTCTACTCCTTCCTCTTCTTGAAGTTCCCATGTGACCCAATAAAGCCTTGGCCTATGGGCTAGTGAAATCTGATCCGCATCAATGAACCAGGGTAGGATACCATACTCCAAATTCATAGCATCACAATCTTGATAGTCCATCGAGGCGACGTTTTCACTTAAGCCATGTACTTGGGCCCAGGGAAAATGTTGACGAACCAGTAGAGTAATACGAGGTACATGAGTGAAAAGCTTACTCCGGTGATCCTTCAAAGCACCCTTCCGGTCACTGTTCAGTCCAGAAACTCCTTGGCAAGGAGGTCCTGCACCTACGAGTACAAGACCTACCGAAGGATATTTAAGTGCCCACTGCTTCACCATTTCAGAATCAACTGTTTCCACATCATTTACCAACTCGCAGTCAGGGAAGTTCGCCTCAACCACCCTCTGAGCATGTTGATCCCTTTCAATAGAAATATGACCAGCTAACGGAGCCTTAAGGACATCCAAAGCAACCCGCAAAGCAGCTATACCATCAAACAAGCCAATGCTCAAAACTTGGGTGAACTCTTGCTCCTCAGGTATGTCCCCCCTTGTAGTAGTTTGACTAGCTGCTAAACCATAAGGCGTCAAGCCAGTACTTTGACAGATTCCCCCTCCAGTAGTGGAAGCATCACTAGCGGTAACCATGGGATCAAAAGGGTTACGGAAATCCATAAATGCTAGAGGGCAAAGACCAATGAACCGAACCAGTTCCACCATCACCTCTCGCCGCAGCCAATGCCTGCGATAAGCAGAACCTGATCCTGTATCAACAATCATCCTCCAAATTTGGTTGAGGCTAGAAAGAAGGGGGCGCTTGAACATAGCAGTGTACACTAGGCCGCCCCCCACCACCTGAAGCTCCCTTTGGGAGGCACGCCCCCTCCCCAAAAGTTCGAGAGTCAACATGATGTACTTCGCCATCTTGCCCGGTTTCGCGCAGAGGGTTCCAGCTTCTCCATCCAGCCATGCCCCCTGGACTTCTGCAGCTCGGGCTTGTTGCACCGACTTCTTCGGGTGTCTTGGGAGCATCTCCAAAGAGTACTGCTCCCTTAGATGTTGCACCAGCTCCGAGGGAGTTCCTTCTAACAAAGACGCCGCTTGCTTATCAATCATCTGCAACTGGTCGAAGTTGTCCAGATAGACTCTAAACAGATTTGGGAAAGAAGTGAAGCTCCTATCACGTCTAATCTCTTGTACACTTCGCCCCAGGCCTTTGAGTGATCCTAAAGCGCGTTGAACCACTCCTCTATGGATATGCTGAGCTATACCTACGCTGTTTAAATACCCCATTGGTAATACTTTTGCAGCAAGGTACCACCTCAAATGCTCTCCCCCGGGGGGGACCATGGACCCTGGAACCTGTTTGCCAAAGCCCATAAACTTGGTCCAGGCCTGTGGAACGCTGAACAAGTAGAAAAAGCATCTGAGGTCCTCAGAAGACGTGACCAAAATATCTTCGTCATGAATATGAATGCCAGTCATCTGTGTCACTGAGGGAAGTGTGCCAACATCACCCGTCAACGTACGGCTCAAAGAATTCCAAGGCTTCAAATTCATTATAAGTCTGGAAACAGGAATGCCATGCTTTTCTTCGTCTTTTCCAACCGAAAAAAGGCCATTCAACAAGGGGATACCATTCACAGAATAGAGCGCATCCTCTGACACCACCTCGCATAGACCACGGGAAACTAACCCCTTAGCAACATCTTCCCATCCATCTTGTTGAATCATCACTGAAGGGGGTTTCCCCAGAAACTGATCAGCAACGGGAATCAGGGTCTCATCGATGTTGTTGACAAAGTGCAAAACACCCCCCGTACAAAAATCACGAATATCCAGTGTACCTACCTCGGGGGGTAAAGAGGCTTCAATACTCGGCCACCAAATAGGCTGCGCCAGTCGCACTTCATCCCCAGAATAATCCAACCCTTTTTGTGAGAAAAACGCTGAAAAGAAATAGGAGGTAATTGTTCCGCAAGAATGGAGGACCCTTCCACAACAGTTCTCAACCTTTTCGTCACACGTTCGGCAACGACTGTAGTTGGGCCCACACTTGCCTCTCCTGGACTGTGCAAGCTGTTCAGGCTCATGACAAGAGCTTGGAGAAATCCGTCTACTCGGCTGGCATCCGGGTGGAGCGTTGGAACTGGAATAGGGAAAAGTTCCTTAGTTCCAGCCTTGGACCTTGGTCTGCAAGCATAGTCAAATAAAAAACGATCTTCCAAAATTTTCAACGCATCCACCACCAGCTGCCACAGATCGCCTACTTGTAGACTACCACGGCCTCTAGCCAAAAACGACTGCACCAGGCCGCAAACTTCTTGGTGAAACTTTTGGGAGTCCTGGACATCAGTGTCACTCCCCTCTTTTCCTTCTCCTTTGAATTCATGCAAAGCTTTTGGTCCAGCCGGCCGCCACTCCTGCTGATCCAACTGTGCTGCTGAGGCCAAACTGCGAGCTTCGTCAATCAGTTTGTCTATCTCCTCAACTGTGAAACTTTCTTCGTGCCTCATAGATTTTTGCGCCCTTGCCTCAAGTGTCTCAGCCTCAACGCCCCGCTTTTCTGGGCCCTCCTTAGGAGTGTCACTCTGCCTCACTCCCTTATCCTTTTCTTTCACCAGGGTACTTTTCTTCCAATCCACTAATGCCTCATCCTTCAACTCAGTCGCTTTTTCTGGCATCCCTCCGACGGTCATCCTTCCCAGTTCCTCCTCCTTTGTTCTTTCCTGCATCAGTGGATTGGCCTTTACTGGTACCCTTGGTGTCCTTCCCCTTCCTTGTCTTTCCTCCTTGGGAGTAGTCTGCTCCCTTACCTGTGCCTGGCCTTCCCATCAGGTTTTTGAGCTTTTCATCTTCTTTGGCCCTTCGTGCTGCTGACAACATCTCACCTTCTTCAGCGAAACCTCTCTCGTCAACCTTGATGAGCTCGTATTGTCTTCCCAGGCTCCAATGCGATCCTTTTGAAAGGGCCACGATACTTTTCAACCTCTGATTGAGGATATCTAGGCCCGCCGCAACTTTGCCTTGGATTATATAATCCATGGTTTGGCAAAGGGTGAGTGCTTCTTGTTGCAGGGCTGGGCTCATCGCTGGCAACACAACCTGCCTCCCATACTGCGTATACAGAGGGGGCAGCGTTGCTCGGTCTACCGACCACATCGTGCCGGCAGCCGTAACCAGGCTACGACGGATCTCCTGCAGAAACCGCGCCGTAAGCGTGCCTGGGTACCGTCTCCATACTGCTTGGAGCTTCTGCTCTTCGTCGTAGAGCCCTTCTTCCACTGCTTCCAGGCTGCTTGTACTCGAGCTGGAACTCTTGGAGGTGCCCACGCTGCTGCTGCTTCCTTTAGCTTTCTTTTTCTTTTTCCTGCTGCTCTTCAAAAGTCTCCTGGCTTTTCTCATCACTCTTGCTCTTCTGCTGGGATCAGGATCCATTCCAGTGTCCTTGAACCCTGCTTCCAACTGCTTCTGGCCAGGGTCCAGATAATCCTTCTCCTCTTTAGGAGACTTGCTACGTCTCCCCTCTTTCTCCTCCTTTCTTTTTCTTTTCTTTTCTTTTCTATCCTCCTTCTTGTCCGCCTCTTTCTTCTCTGCCTCCATGCGTCGTTGTTCATCTCGAAGACGGGCCATCTCATCCGCGTCACGCTCCGGGGGCTTCACTTTCTCCAGGTTGGTCAACCAAGGAAGTCGACGGGCGTCCACCTCCTCATAGTTGTGGGCGTGCACAAGGGTCTCATCAGTGAGAACCCCTGGGCATTCGGGGCCACATAAGTGGATGGAGAGGCTCCTCTCTTCTTTTCCACTTAAAATCCTCAGTAACTCCTCATCCTTTGTTCCACTCACCACCAGCTCCGCATAGATCTCGTCGCCTTCACTTCGAAAGCTTTTGAATCTGCCTGCCACTGCTACTGTTCTTCCATAGTAACGGCCCTCTTCAATAGCCACCGTCCCCAGAGACAGTAGAGCTCTGGGATTGATATCAACAAACCTTTTCTGACCCGGGGTTCCTCTCTTCTCTCAACTTCCTCATCTCCTAGCGCGGCGGGTCGGCGTCGAGGGGGCCTCACAGCCGCTGGCCTTCTCATGACCACCATTGCCGCTTTAGGAGCCATCCTAGCTCCCCTCACCGATAGCGTCTGCTACTGAAAACCTCTTGTTTGGCACGCTTCACGCGCCCTTTGTTGGTGGAATCTGTCCACCTTGGATGGTCGCTGACGGGGAGTACTCCTCGCCACCCGGGGCCTTGTGGCCTCTCGTCACGGGCTTTCCTTTCTTTGCGGTCTCGTTCACCCCCTGAGCGGCTTCTATCGCGCCTTCTCCTTCTTGAACTGTGGCTTCGACTTCTCCGGGCCTTCTTCTTCTTGCTTCTGGATCTAGGAGGGTCTCTGCCTCCCTTATGCCGGGGACTTCTCTCGGGCTCTTCTTCCTTCTCTCTTGTGGGCCTTGATGAACTGGCTCCACTGGCAGGGGCTGATGCGTTGGGCTTTTCTGTCACCTTTTGATCCTCCTGAGGCTCTTCTTTCTCTTTCCCTGCAGTGGAGGCTGGGGCCGCAGGTGCTAGACCTTCAGGCGGGGCAGGCGGTCCGCACTTGGTGGTCAGGTTGAGGGCACTCTCCTTGGGCGCGTCTTTCGGAGCCTCCTCAGCCGGCGGCTTTTGGGAGGACTTGGCCTCCCCTACAAGGGGCCTGGCAGGTGGCGCTGCCGGCCCTGGTGGTGTCCCTGTAACCCCAGGGAGAGGGCGCTGGAGCTCGTCACGAAGTTCCGCCTCCAGCAAGCGGAATCGGCTGACCACGTAGCCCTCGAAGCCCAAGAGGTGCCCCCCTGCCTCAAAGATTGAGTAGATCCTTGAAACACAATTGCACAACGGGCAGCCACAGGCGGGGTTGTGGCCAACCATACCCTGAAGCCAGAGCTGCAGAGTAATACATGCGGTATTTTCATGTTTATCACCGTAAACGTAGGTACATATATATCATACACACTTCCCCACGGCACACCGACCTGGGACAACTTCAGGGGAGACGAGACAAGAAACCACATGAACCCAGTATATCCCAGTATGACATACCCTGCATCCACAGATGCGTAAAATGTAAACACTGACACCTGCATTATAGTTCAATAGCAAGGTTTTTTTTTCTGTATCTTTTACAACATGCATTGTCCAATGACTTATGTGAAAAACTCTCGGCACCTGTTTGAATACCTTTCTGTGTATTCAATTGCCCAGCTCATTCCCACATGGAAGCCATAGTCGCGCAACAGAAAACAACCGCAACATACCGCAGTCGAGCAGCCTGGCGAACAATTTTTCAACTGAGCCCTGAACAGCCCCAAACATTTATCATCCATTTTCCTTATCCACCGAAAACGGACAAGTAGAAGAAAACACCATATCTTGCGATTAGATTCCCATTGGGAACGCGCAATCCGCAATCTGGATACATGGGGCCAATTCAGATCTGAAACTGTCGGTCAAAAAAAAAAGATGTTTGGACAATAATTTCCGCATAGATCCGCATACTACCTTGTAACACGCGATGCGCCAACATTGGAATCCCACAGCACTACCAAAGTGCTACCCCTATCAGATCTATCAGCAAGGGGCATTCCGCTTGGAGGCAGCATCTCGGATAGCTTCCTCCAGCTTCATCACCTGATGCCCAGAGAAGTAGCTGAAGCTGGTGCCAGAGTCCTGCGATGGGATGAGATGATGGTGGGTAAGGTCCGATCTAGCCTCAATTCGTCTCTCCAAAAAGCTGGTTGATCTAGATTCTTTCATCCGGAAACGGCCATTCTTCGTGAAATACATTTTTACATATTTTTACGCATATATTATTTGAAGATATTTGAAGTCTGGGTAAGGCTTACTGGGGCATGCCTTTTCATTTTCGGCTGCTCCTTCAGGGAACTTTAGAAAACATATCATAACATATCCAAAAAAAAAGTTGTACATGTTCACAATGATGAACCATCATAGCAAACGTTCGTGAAACTTTCACAAAATACAAGTTTACTCTCACGAGCTCGACAAACGACTTTCGCGAGGGTTCGAAATACAACATGGACGGTATTCACAATCACAATTCTTTACACGGACCTTTAGATCAATGATCCTAAAAGTATGTGCCGCTTTCAAGTGGTGCATTGGGTAAGCTCATCTGAGGGTGCTTGCGCAGAGGCTGACTTGAGGGGTGGTCTCCTGAAGATTTGCATTAGCCAATGGCCACACAAACTCACACACACACACACATGCAAGCTGGAGGCATTTGCAACGATTCGCAGCTTATCAGTTTTTTTGGTTTCATCTGTGCAGTCAATAGCGTAAAGTGGATGGAGATGGATGAAAACGGAGTTGGTCACTGTAAGAGCACACAGTTGCTTCCACATAGTATCCATGAGTTCCCTCAGCAAAGGTCGAACAAAACGACTTCACAGATCTTCACAGGACTTTTTGCGGCATGACGCATCATGACGCGTCATTTTTGACCCTTGCCACCCTTGCCACCAACGGCCAGTCCAGTTTGAACTCTCCAAGATTTCCGGCGAACAAGTCTTTGCCGTTGAAGCTGATCTGGTTCAGGGCCAAATGATACCCACTGCTGTACGGAGTCCACTGGAAAGGCTCGCTGCTGGGCATCCAAGTATTGTTCCTGAAGCCAGAGCAGTTTTTTCTGATGTTTTGTGGGGACATGTGGGGACAGAGCTGCAAAATACATCAAAATACTGCACGTATCATTCCATGACAACAGTGATATGCTGCTTCTCACCCACGGTTTTTAGCCGTGATTCAGCCCACCCACGGTCATGGAACCGCCAGTTTCTGCAAGGCATAAGGCAAAGACTTCCTTTTCGATCGGCCCGTCCTTAGTTATCTTAGTTGCCCCAAGTGCTGAACTTGAGGGCTCCAAATCCAATGAATTTTAGATGGCACCTTGGACAGAAAGGTTGTGGTGTTTTTCTGATGCCGAAACATCAACACAATGAAAACCTGCTGAAGAAAGTCATGTTGGCTCAGTGGATCTGCGCTGCTGGCAACTTGGGAAGGACAGTTAGCCGAGGTTCCGCCAAAGACTCAAGCACATTCCAGCCACCCTCGTTCAAACCCGTGATGCCGGCTGGAACCTGGCATGTCGCCCAATATTTGTCTTGAAACGTTGAGTGAGACTCTTGCAGAACATGATTCTGAAGAAAATGAGAGGACACTGAATAACAGGGCTACGCTGCTAGTGGCACCAAAAGAAGTCATGCTAGCCTGTAGACCCTGATGCAACAGCAACAACTCCTGTCCCGAGTGACCTGTGTCCGGAAGAGCTTTGTCTCCCTAGTGTGGCATCCCATCCAAACAGGACCTTTCTTGTTGGCCTCAGGATTGAGTCTGAAACGGCAGTCAGTTAGAAAGAAACGTGTTGCAACTGGAGCTACAGAAATCTCTTGTCCAAAGCTCTCGCCACAAATTGAAGTGCCGACTTATTATAGGGAAGTTCACTGCGTCTGCACTTCTGTCAAAGTCCCAAGTTTGACAAGTGAGAATCAATTCCACTAGACAACGCATGCAATGCATGGATCATGCATAAACAACAGTGTGAGTGCTTCGTAGGACAAACCAGTGGCACGTTGAGAAGCACCCAGTTGCAGCACCTTGCTCGTGCTTGGCATGTCACTGTCACAAGCCGTTCTGTTGGGCCCTGAAAAAAACAACCCAAAAAACACAAGTTTCAGACTCCCAAACAGTGCAAGGTATATACATAGACTACATAGAACTATACATTGAAATCAAATCCGGGGATGGTCCTGGGATGTTTGATTTCTACATGTCACTGGCCTTTCTTCTCTCGCAGAATTGGGGCTAGCAATTTCGTTGCTTTGACTGAGGAGTTGCAACCACGAACAACTAATTAAATGTCACCACATTGTTGCACCGTTTCAGTGCAAACCTTTCCTACAGAATAACTAAAAAAATCAAATGAATCAAATGATCTGGTGATCCCACCCTTCCTGAGACGGGAAAGACAGGAAATCTATACTACCTGCAAATGACATGGGAGGTGTCGGACATACCCAAAAAACGCAAACTCCCATGCCATGTCATCTGCAAAGTGTAAAAAAACAGAATTACTTTACTTCGTGTGATCCCCACCATGACGTTTATACATTTTCTTACTGGCAAATCTTCTGGCATTCTATCTGACATATCTTCCGACATTCTATTTGGCATTCTATCTGGCATATCTTCTGGCATATGTTCTGGCATTCTATCTGGCAAATCTTCTGGCATTCTATCTGACATATCTTCTGGCATTCTATCTGACATATCTTCTGGATTCTATCTGACATTCTATCTGGCATATCTTCTGGCATATTATCTGGCAAATCTTCTGGGATTCTATCTGGCATTCTATCTGGCATATCTTCTGGCATATCTATCTGGCATATCTTCTGGCATATTTTCTGGCATTCTATCTGGCAAATCTTCTGGCATTCTATCTGACATTCTATCTGGCATATCTTCTGGCATATTATCTGGCAAATCTTCTGGGATTCTATCTGGTATATCTTCTGGCATTCTATCTGGTATCTTCTGGCATTCTATCTGGCATATCTCATGGCATTTTATCTGGCATATCTTCTGACATTCTATCTGGTATATCTTCTGGCATTCTATCTGGCATATCTTCTGGCATTCTATCTGGCATATCTCATGGCATTTTATCTGGCATATCTTCTGACATTCTATCTGGCATATCTTCTGACATTCTTTCTGACATATCTTCTGACATTCTGTCTGGCATATCTTCCGACATTCTTTCTGACATTCTTTCTGGCATTCTATCTGGCATATCTTCTGACATTGTATCTGACATATCTTCTGACATTCTTTCTGGCATATCTTCTGACATTCTGTCTGGCATATCTTCTGACATTCTTTCTGACATTCTTTCTGGCATTCTATCTGGCATATCTTCTGACATTCTATCTGACATCTTTTCTGACATTCTTCCCGTTGAGGTCCGGCAGTGCCCACTGCGATCTGGAAGTCGCGGTTGAGGTCCGGCAGTGCCCACTGCGATCTGGAAGTCGCAGTTGAGTTCCGGCTGTACCCACTGGGATCCGGAGCTCGCGGTGGAGGCCCGGCTGTGCCCACTGGGATCTGGACTGCGAGGAGGAGGCGGCGGGTGAGGAGGCGGAGGAGGCAGAGGAGGCGGAGGAGGAGGAGAAGAGCTCTGTTAAAATCTAGCAACCCTCACCTGGCAGGTAGGGAAAAATAGTCCCGTGTCATCTGTCGGAAAAAAATACATGACATCGGACCTCTGCAATTGTTTGGGCTCCAAAAAGATGCAACACATGTCATGTCAACTAACTCACACACTGTACATTTCACATCCCACATGAACAAAGATAGTATATGAGTGTATGACTACCTGCTAGCAGTTAGAATAATCCAAAATTATACGTCAGCAGTTAGAATATTCCAAAGTCACATGAATCCATTCACCTCCTTGTTCTATTTAGCGACTATTTAGCAGCTATTCAGAAGCTACTTAGCAGCTCTTTAGCATTTTTTCAGCAGCTATTTACCAGCTCTTTAGAAACTATTTAGCAGCTATTTCGAAGCTATTTAGAAGCCATTTATCAGTTATTCAGCAACTACTTAGAAGCTATTTTGCAACTATTTAGCGGCTATTTAGCAGGTATTCAGCAACTACTTAACAGCTATTTAGCAGCTATTGAGCAGCTACCTAGCAGCACTCAGCAGCTATTTAGCAACTATTTAGCACCTATTGAGTAGTTATTCAGCAACTATTTAGAAGCTATTTAGCAGCTATTCAGCAGTTATTCAGCAACTATTTAGCAACTATTTAGCAGCTATTTAGCAACTATTTAGCAACTATTTGGCAACTATTGAGCAGCTATTTAGCAACTATTTAGCAACTACTTAGCAACTATTGAGCCGCTATTTAGCAGCTATTTAGCAACTACTTAGCAACTATTGAGCCGCTATTTAGCAGGTATTTAGAAGCTTAGAAACTATTTGGCAGTTATTTAGCAGCTTTTTAGCTATTGAGTAGCTATGGAGCAGCTATTTAGCAGCTATTTCAGTAACTATTTGGCAGCTACTAAAGCTATTTAGCAGCTATTTAATACAGGTAAGTATTTAGCAACTATTTGGCAGCCATTTACCATGTATTCAGCAACTATTTAGCAGCTACCTAGCACGTATTTAGCAGATCCCTGTGATCATTTTCTCTACAAAATAATGAGGTGCAAACACCCCTCGGGCCAGTGCAGGGCCACCAATTCAAACCCCAACTTTGTCTACAAAATACAGGATTGAGCGTCGTCAAAAAAATTAAAGATTCATTTTGCAATACCCCAGTTTGCTGGGAGATGATTTTGTAGAGGCAATGTTTTGCATTTTTGTGTCATGTTTTGATGGGAGTAGATTAGATTGGATGAACTTCTATTTTGTAGAGGTTGTGTTGGATTTTTGTCATGCTTGGCTTTGTATTTTGTAGGGGCCCCATGCATGCCCATATTTTGTGAATGAAATGCGCGTTTCCTCGCCGAAATGGCTCATTCAGAATGGAAAGATAAGAGAAAGACAGAAAACACAACTAAGCTTGTATTTTCTACATTTTCTGTGTTCTCTATATGTTTTTAAAGTAAACCAATAAATTTCTTTTATCTTTCTTTATTTGCATTAATTATATGTTTTCGTTGTTTTTCTTTACAACCTAAAAAGCGTATTCATTTTGAAAACCGTCCGGACAGGTCGGAGCTGAGCAGCTGCACCACTCCAAGAGCTGGAAAATAAGAAAATAGGAATTTTCAGTAATTTTTCTGGAATTTTAGAGAATTTTGAAGAATTTTATAGAATTTGAAGGAATTTTGAGGAATTTTAAGGAATTTTAAGGAAGTTTGAAGAATTTTGCAGGATTTTGAAGGAATTTGAAGGAATTTTACGGAATTTTGAGGGGATTTAAAGGAATTTTGAGGAATTTTAAGGATTACCCATGTCATCTTGGAAGTCCCATGTCATGTGGTAAATTCGTCTTCCCATCTCATTACCTGCCACTTCCCATCTTGGACGTCCCATTTCCTGTGGTAAATTCGTCTTCCCATCTCATTGCCTGCCACTTCCCATCTTGGGCGTCCCATGTCATGTGGTAAATTCGTCTTCCCATCTCATTCCCTGCCACTTCCCATCTTGGACGTCCCATTTCCTGTGGTAAATTCGTCTTCCCATCTCATTGCCTGCCACTTCCCATCTTGGGCGTCCCATCTCCTGTGGTAAATTCGTCTTCCCATCTCATTGCCTGCCACTTCCCATCTTGGGCGTCCCATCTCCTGTGGTAAATTCGTCTTCCCATCTCATTGCCTGCCACTTCCCATCTTGGAAGTCCCATCTCATGTGGTAAATTCGTCTTCCCATCTCATTACCTGCCACTTCCCATCTTGGACGTCCCAACTCCTGTGGTAAATTCGCCTTCCCATCTCATTACCTGCCACTTCCCATCTTGGACGTCCCATCTCCTGTGGTAAATTCGTCTTCCCATCTCATTACCTGCCACTTCCCATCTTGGACGTCCCATCTCCTGTGGTAAACTTCCCATCTTGGGTGTCCCATCTCCTGTGGTAAATTCGTCTTCCCATCTCATTACCTGCCACTTTTCATCTTGGAAGTCCCATCTCCTGTGGTAAATTCGTCTTCCCATCTCATTACCTGCCACTTCCCATCTTGGACGTCCCATCTCCTGTGGCAAATTCGTCTTCCCATCTCATTACCTGCCACTTTTCATCTTGGAAGTCCCATCTCCTGTGGTAAATTCGTCTTCCCATCTCATTACCTGCCACTTCCCATCTTGGACGTCCCATCTCCTGCGGTAAATTCGCCTTCCCATCTCATTACCTGCCACTTCCCATCTTGGACGTCCCATCTCCTGTGGTAAACTTCCCATCTTGGGCGTCCCATCTTCTGTGGTAAATTCGTCTTCCCATCTCATTACCTGTCACTTCCCATCTTGGACGTCCCATCTCCTGTGGTAAATTCGTCTCCCATCTCATTACCTGCCACTTTTCATCTTGGAAGTCCCATCTCCTGTGGTAAATTCGTCTTCCCATCTCATTACCTGCCACTTCCCATCTTGGACGTCCCATCTCCTGTGGCAAATTCGTCTTCCCATCTCATTACCTGCCACTTTTCATCCTGGAAGTCCCATGTCATGTGGTAAATTCGTCTTCCCATCTCATTTCCTGCCACTTTTCATCTTGGACGTCCCATCTCCTGTGGTAAATTCGTCTTCCCATCTCATTACCTGCCACTTTTCATCTTGGACGTCCCATCTCCTGCGGTAAATTCGTCTTCCCATCTCATTACCTGCCACTTCCCATCTTGGATGTCCCATCTCCTGTGGCAAATTCGTCTTCCCATCTCATTACCTGCCACTTTTCATCTTGGAAGTTTCATGCCATGTGGTAAATTCGTCTTCCCACCTCATTACCTGCCACTTTTCATCTTGGACGTCCCATCTCCTGTGGTAAATTCGTCTTCCCATCTCATTACCTGCCACTTTTCATCTTGGAAGTCCCATGTCATGTGGTAAATTTGTCTTCCCATCTCATGTCCTGCCACTTCCCATCTTGGGCGTCCCATCTCCTGTGGTAAATTCGTCTTCCCATCTCACTACCTGCCACTTTTCATCTTGGAAGTCCCATCTCCTGTGGTAAATTCGTCTTCCCATCTCATTTCCTGCCACTTCCCATCTTATTACCTGCCACTTTTCATCTTGGAAGTCCCATGTCATGTGGTAAATTCGTCTTCCAATCTCATTACCTGCCACTTCCCATCTTGGACGTCCCATCTCCTGTGGTAAATTTGTCTTCCCATCTCATTACCTGCCGCTTTTCATCTTGCTTCCCATCTCATTGCCTGCCACTTTTCATCTTGGACGTCCCATCTCCTGTAGTAAATTCGTCGTCCCATCTCATTACCTGCCACTGCCCATCTTGGACGTCTGTGCTTTCCTGGAAGTTCCATGTCATGTGTAAATTTGATCACTTATTCCCATGTCATCTGTCAAAAAATGGAAAAATACCTGCCCGTTAGGTCGGCGCATAGCTCCCATGTCATGGTCATGTGTAAAAAAAACCATAGCAAAATCGATACATAAATCCTATGTCATGTGCCAAAAAACCTCGGCTAAATCGGCCGCAAAGTCCCGTGTCATCTGCGCCGACTAATTATAACAGTTAAATAAAATTTGCATAGATTTGCTGAGGCGCATCCTCAAAGAAATGGCCATTGATCTCCGAGCCCTCAACATACTTCACGTTGTAGCTACACTGATTCTTCGTGCAAGAGTCGCAGCCCTTCTCACCACATTGCACCCACCTGTCATGGCCAAGGAAAGCGCGTCTTTCATGATTTCCATTGATTTCCTTGCTATCTTGGCATGATCTATCATGATCTAGCATGATCTGGCATGATTCGGCACGATTCGGCATGTTTTCCTAAACGTGGCTGACAGTTTTGGCAATTCTGTCGATGAACAACGTGTACCAGCATGCTCACATGAATGACACAGAATTTGATATCTGTGTGTGTATATATACGTATATATATATATTGGATCAACATATATCACATTTATTTCACGGGTTTTGTGGCTGCGGATGTTGTGCGGTTCCCTCGCATGGCCATGGCCTAAAGGTGCTGGAAATCGTGGGATCGAAGGGCGGGTCCATATGCCTGGCCAT